TACATACACTGACTATTGCAAAGAATATTCTGAAAAAAATTCGATGCGTAATTAAAAATCTACATAAGTAGTATATATAAATTCATACGCAATTATATAGAAGCACCCAAGATTCGGCTTGACCGTTTTACGGCCTGTTCTCATCTGTCTTTCACTGGTTTAAATTCTTACGGTTCTATAAGATTTAATATTACATATATAGGGTTAGAAAAAAAGTACTATGGTATTTTATTATCTCAAGATTGTATAATGTACATTTAAAAAATTAGCGATTATACTATTCAATATTAGAGTAAGGTTTCAACTTTAAGAATCTGATTTTTTTATTGCAGTACAATATAATTTTTAACGAAATAATAAGCAATTAAAATCAAAATGTTTCTTTACTTAATTCGCGAATAATTTAGAGACAAAAAATCGTAAGAATATTTAAAAAAAAATAGATTTTTAGGAAAACACGAAGCTTTCACGTTAGTCGAAAACTTTCGCAAATTCTTTTTTGGTACATTATAACAGAGCGAGAAAAAAAAATTCCTTTTTTTTCAACTTGTAATTTTCTATATATAAAAATTACAAGTTTACATGAAAAAAATTATAAAAACGTTTTGAAAGTAGGAATTTTAAAAGCTTTAAAACCTTTTTTTTTAAATTTTGTTCATTTTTGACGAAGATTTTGTATATGTTATAGTTTAGATTTAATAAAAACCGCAGAACTTTTTCTCCAATCCAATATACATATATATATTGGATTGGAGAAAGTCCTTTTTAAAAAATAAATTTTTAAAGCTGAAACTTTACTCTATTGAATGATACAATTGCAACGAAAATTTCGCAACACATGATGGGGGAAGAATTCTTTTATATATATATAAAATTATAATATATGTATATAAGTGGTATTGAAATTTATAATTATTTATAATGAGAATCGTGTATATTTATGACAAGTTTTTTTAAGAAATACGATAAAATAAAAAAATTTCACGTAAGTGTAACAATAAAGAGATACTTACGGATGATATAAGCCAATAAAACATCCATATAATTATCACATCAAAGCATTTCTCATCGGGCGCAATGCCAATAGTACCGTAATTTTATTGAACGTAACGGTGGTAAACATATTATTGTTTATATCTCCAGTTTTCAATCATTCAATTTATGATTATAAACTGTTAGAGATAAGATCATAAATCTCTACATAAAACTTCCTTGTTGCAAGTTTTAAGAATATCTTCATTAATTTCGTGTTGCTCCAATATCATTCTATCAATTAGTATGTTACATTCTTTTTGTTGGTTTTATCAAATCTCTCCAGTAATACATCTAATATATATATTATAATAGACTATTGATAAGACTTCAAACAACAGTTCTTCAATTATATGAATTCATAGGAAATATTGAATCAAATCACAAATTTTATCGTTTTCTGATAAATTTCCGCCGCTACAAACTTTGAATGAAAATGACAAAGTATTTTTGTTTCACATGTTTGTTTTTTATACAATTAATTAACCCTAGATTTATTCTCGATTTAAATTACTCTTTTTATCTTCTTCTAGTTCTAAGAATTAAAAAAAGATAAAATAAAAAGGTTAAATCGAGATTAAAGTTAATCTACATTAATAGAAAATATCGGCCAATCGAGAATTCTTACCTGACAGAAAGGTACCGGCTAAAGAATCATCATCCTGCCCATTAACTAACCCGATGAGTGCGAGTAGAAGGACGATGCCCTCGGGGACAGCTCTTAATATCATCTTCAGCCTCCCTGTAGCTGTCTTCGTTTGTTTCTTAATCAGGAAAACAGTGAAGAAAGAACAAGAGAAAGAAAAAGAGAGAAAGAAATTGTTAAGATTGATGCACTGTTTCGTTTGTGCGGTCCCGATCACGTGCGCGTCAAACTATTTCTCTTCACTGACGAGAGAGTTCAACGACGTTTACAATGTTGCGCCATGCAGACCCACATCATTCGCTTCGGCTCGTTTGAACGACACTGACTGGGTAGAGATCAGGGCCTACTTGTGGGTCAGAGTGTGTGGATCCCCACTTCCAACACCAGTGGAAGGCCCATGAAGATAAAAGAAACAAGGAGAAAGAAAAAGAAAGGAAGAAATGAGATAGAACGATGATTGACCGGCTTTGTAAATGTTATCCGGAGGGGATAGGGTTTGTTGACAGGGGCGGTGCTAGCTGCGACTTTTGTTGCTTTTTTCACTCCTACAAAGCATTGCGATGAGATCAACGATTTAGGTTACCACTTACGGAATAAGTAACGTATAGAAAAGAAAGATTTAATCAATATCTCAGTTAATCAACTAATTAGTACACTATTTGCGGAATTCTGAACTACAGCTTTTGATCAGAAGTATAAAAGCTCAGTCTTAATTTAATGTATTTTTGTAGAAAAGACGATAATAAATGCCAAAAGAAAACTAGTAAAATATTTAACAAAATATTAAATGTTATACAAATAAATGTTATTTTTCGATAAAACTTTTTAAATTAATTTTTTGTTATATATAAAACATTTACTTGAATTTGTAAGAGTGTTTTATACATTATTATTATAAAGCAAAGACTGCGTACTTGTGAGAAATTTAAATGTGCGATTTTAAATGCAATACAAGACGTCCTCTTCAATTTTTCATCATGATATAAATAATTTCATTCATTTGAATCTGTATAGGAAGATTTAACATTGATTGATCGGACAACCGTTCCTGCTCTCTTCTGTGCATTCTTCGTTTCTTCCTCGGTACTATGAACTGATCATTTGGATGTCTCTTTTGAATACATTGTGTACGAGTATATGAGAGACACCATAGTCCCAGTTCACGTCCCCTCTGATTTTTCCGTTCTCTTCCGCGCGACCAAATCTCACTTTTTTTTCTATTTTCCTTGTTATACGCTCTTCTTCCTCTTTCCTTTTCCATCCTGTTCTCCTTTCTAGCTACTCTCTTCCGTCATTCCCTCTTTCCTTTCTACATATGTTGTGTATCGTGTGCGCTTGTGTTGGTATAAATATCCACGCCCGGCGCATGCACGTGTGTGTACGCACGCACATACAAAACGCGTATGCGGCGTGCCCGTGTGCGACTAGCGGTACTTTACCCGTAAATGTACGAGATACCGTTCGATATTTTCCTCCAGAAATGATCGCACATTGCACAAGGTGGCATCGTTCTACAACTATAGCATAAATTTCTGATAAGATTCCGTAATAACTATCTAGACGTAATAATTATTAAATTAATGCTTAAGCATCCATCAGCTAAAACTATCTTGTGCCACTAGGAAAAGATAATTGGAAGAGATACATAAATTAAAAGCAGCACTCATGTTATAATATATTTAGCTTATATTCAAAAATAAATCCTTTATCGATAATTTCATATTTTATGTATAAATGAATTCTTGTTTGACTCTCTTTCTCTTTTTCAAATAACATTAATCATGTATCTAAACATTTATAAAGCCTTATTCGATAATATCTTAAATAGCATATCTAGAATGAATAGAAAACAAACTTAAAAAAATGTTGAACATATGATATTATAATAATAGAAAAATATGTAGAATTTTTACCCCTTAAATATCAATGAACATTATTGAATATAAAATAGAATATATTTTATAAGTAAGAATATGTACGTGTTTTATATAGTAATATATATTATTGTATAGTAATTTGAACACTTATAAGAACCTTAAGTAAGACAGATCGATAAGAGTTTTTCGATGCAATGAATTAGTTAGCTATACAGTAATCACAAACTAACAAAAAGCATATTGTATTGGCAGTTCACTTATTTGTTTTACCTAATAAATATATAACGGACACAATCAGAGGACTCAATAGTTGAGTGAGCGCTCGCTGCTATTGATGTATTCTTCTAGATCTAAAATTCTATAGAATAATTTAAAAAAATAATAGCGACTCAATTTAAGTCTGCTGAACGCAGTTATTGTGTACACATATACAAAGGATATAAAACAGATCATTTACGGTGTGGAAAGATCACTTGTTAATTATATATCTTCTAGATCTTTTGAATTTGATTCTCTATACATGTACTCTTTCCTTTACAAGTCTTATCAAGTCATCCTTCATGAATCGTACGTTACTAATATGATAAGTTGCGTATTTACTTGCAAAGCAAAATAAAAGAAACATTTCAGATGGACTTGTATGAGGATCACAATATGCACAAATAAATTTAATGAAAATTTAAAACAATTTTATGATTACTTATGACATTATAAAAATGAGAACATTAGATAATTATAAAATTTAGGTTATTTCAATGATTAAATTTTTCTTCATAGAGTTAATACTATAACATAGTATGAAAAGTTATTTTCAGATTTGAAATATTATTTTTACGATATCACTATATGGGATATTTATGTCATATGTAATCAAATGTAATACGTATATGCTATTTGTTTTCTGCGGCAATGTGTGTGTGTGTGTGTGTGTGTGTGTATTATATAAATATAATTAAAAAAATTTTTTTTCAAAGTATTTTAAGGCTCCTGAGTAATCACTTTAACCATATTAAATTGTGACGTCGTAAATTAAAGAAATAACACGTTGATTATCTTACAACTCTGCTCTAAAGACACAAAAATTATATAAGAAATTATAAAAAATCATTTTGTTGTACTGTTAAAGCAGGGAATTTGTTTCATTGGAACGCAGTTGTGCTCAAAAGTTAGGTTTTATTGATAAACTTCTTTTTGTTAATAACTTTTTAATGAACGAGCTAAAATTTGTTCAAGATTATTCGGAGTCATGACCTTGACAACATATGTCAAAGTCATGGTCATTGGAGGATAATCGCTTATACTGCATAATTAATGAAAACATTTGTGTAAGAATATTAAAAAGTTTTTTATTATACAAGTTTTTTTTTATTATAGAAGATATACTTTTGTTATTTCTTACAATTTATAAATAAAATAATAAATTTATCTGATCTATGACTGTGACTGTGTTTTATTATTTAAAAAAATCTAATTAAAAAAAATTAAAGTATTCTGTAAAAAGTATCTCTGGATCATTTCTCAAGTGAAAAAATAGGGATTATTTTTAGATTGATCCATGGTATACCATGCGCATAGATCGTTCGTAAAAAGTAGAGACGCCACAATACAATAAAAGTGTAAAAACTTTGTTCACGATGCAACAAATACATAGAAAAAAATGTCGATTTTTGAAACATAAAGTGTGATAAGCTACAAATTTTTTTCAGATTTTTAAACTTGCTTTTTATTTCTCCTAAAATAGGGAAATTTACTTTTGGATTAATCCTTGTGTAAGATAATTAAAATTCTTACTACAATCCCAGATGAGCTGGATCGACAAGAGTAAATTTTTCGATGCATTCAATAAGCCATATTAATGGCAGACTCTTGATATGTGGCATATTATATTTAATAAGCGGTTCACCTACCTTTTTACCTGGCATATATATAATATAATGCGTACACTTATGTAAAGGATGAGACAGATCATTCACGATATGGAAAGGTATTACTTGTGACATATCTTTTAGATCTTCTGGATCTGGTTTTCTAGTAAGTACTGTCCCTTCTCCTTCCTTTACAAGTCTTATCAGATCGTCCTTTGTACATCGTACTGTAGCAATATGATAAGTTGTATTTGCTTGCAAAGCAAAATAAAAGAAACAGTTATTGAATAAACGTGGATTTTGACATTCTGTATTCTGTCTCGCTTTCCTCGGGATGCCAGCAGTGGGTGCACCGTTAACTTCAAATAATTCGAGATCCATATTAGTTATTTCGTCCATATCTGCTGCTAGTCGAATCCCTTTAAATGTTATTTTCTTTACATATTAATTTTTTCTAAATATTAATTTTATATTGCTTAAATTTTTATTTAGATATAACAATTTTACTGTATATAAATATAATTGTTATTGTAATACAATATATTTGAGCAAATAATTCATAGCATAAAAGATCATTATAAATATATTTTATCTTACACTCGCTATTGAGAAGCCAACTTCCATAAACAATTGAGAATAAGACGTCAAGTGTTAATGTTGTACAATTTTGCTCATTTGCCTCTACTATGACATGTGTAACACATTGTCTGAAAAAAAATTGATTGTACTCGTTTGCATTTCCTGTAGATTAAAAAACCTATACAATAAAAAAATATACAAAAGAACGAATTATACCTATACGTTGTTAAAATTTTGAATTTATGTCTTGCGGCTACGAGACCAAGCAACTGCTGACTTTCACGTTTTAAATTTGATGCAAGAATCACAAATTTGTTAGATGTACAAATAGATCTATCTAGAGTTTGATTAAGATCTGATATCCTTTCTGACGAAGTTTTTGGTAAATCCATCAAAAGTTGTCGCATCTGCACTGATTTACAGTAGTCTCTGCAAAATCACATTAAAAGATTATGCAATAAAGTTATCTTTAGTAAATATTCTTTGCGGCTACGATAAAACATGTACATACATAGGTTTTTTGCCAAACTGATCACGATGGTTTCTGTTTGCATTATAATGCAACAACAACTTAGCTTCTTCAATTCTGTTATACTTAGCAGCGTCGTGTAGTGGTCTTCGGTTCTTAATACCTGCTACATCGGGCGAAGCTCCACACTCTAGTAGCAATTTACATATTTCAGTATATCCAAAATTTACCGTTTCTTGCTGAAATATTATGTAGAATATAATTTAAATTTGACAAGTTTACAAAAAACACATATTAATCTTTTTTTTACCAATGGTGTCCAATCAGCATGATCTTTTGTATTAGGATTTGCACCAATCAACAAGAGACGTTTAACTTCTTCAACATTTTGCTATAAAATAATTGTCTTCTAAAGCTTTCTTAGAGAAACAAAAATTATTTTTTGGTATATAACAGGGTAAAAGAAAATGTTAAAAATATATAACGTGTTTTTTAACATACTTTTAATGTTTTAAATGTTTTAAAACCATATCTATACAGTGTATTCTTTGTTTACTTACTTTTCACTACTTTTTATTTTTTGCCTTTTTCTCTTACTCAGTTTTTTATTTTCTGTTGTCTAAAATAAAAAATATTCAATATTCAATACTAAAGACTGTTAATGTAGGAACATAACTAATATGAATACGAAGCCTATAACAGTCTAGCTTGGATCTTTAATAATGGATCTAAAATAAAAGTTGATGAACTTCAGAAAGAAAAAAAACATGTGAGAAAAACATGATAGTTGGTAAGTACCCATACATATTCATAGACAGGCCTATATATAATATTTAAGGCTCCTTAAGTTTATGTTCAGATGCTCTATAAATTATTTTATTAACTACTGAACATCTAAAGATAAGGAAACCTTAAGTATAATATAAAGTCTGACTATGAATATGGGCTAAGATGGTCACAAAAAAGAAGAAAGACATGAAGTAAAAAGCAAAAAACAGAACACACTGTAAATTAAGTCAAATACCTAGTATTAAAAGAAATATGCTTGAAACAAGGTTTAAAACATCAACTATGTTTTTTACCAACCCTGTTATATAGAGTATACATTTGAGATTTAATTCAGGTACTTATTACAAATTATATTTTTATACAAATCAAAAGAATATAGTAAAGACAGTATTAGTATTTTATTTCTATACCTTCAAGCATGCAATATGTAATGGTGTTTCCCCTCTATGATTTAGTTTATTTATATCCTTTGTACGTCTATAACTTTGCTTCTTTGGTGTATGAAATATTGTAGATATTGTATTATCCAATAATGTACTAAATGCATCTGTAGCATTCTCCCATAAATCTCTAAAAGAATTTATTCATACAGTTATTTATATAGTTTTATTTAGCAAACTTCTAACCTTTTATGAATAATTTCTGCAATAACATCACAATTATGTACAAGACTGGATACTAAATGATCAGGTTTTATTTCCTTTGGCTGCACTGGTACATCACATTTATTACATTTTGTCGCAGATATGATACAATTACGACAAAAGAAATGTCCACAATTTGTGAGCCTTACAGGAGAAACTGGTTTCAACCCACTATATAAAAAGATAGTGATTATATTATATAAAGCATACATAAAACAATAATAATTAATGGTGCGAAAGAAGGACTACGAGTCTAATAAATTCATTTAACTTCATATTCATCATCACACATTATGTATGTTTTCATTGCAAGTTAAGACAGGGAGCTATCCAGCAAAAAACACAGTGCAACACAACAAATCATTATATCCTTATTGTTCGCCAACGTTAAACAAAGATGAAATGATTACTATTACAGTGTCTCTTGTTGGAAAGCTCCTGGTAAATGTTGACGCTTTTTTTCTGCTAAATTCTTTCGTTTCATGCAAAAAAATATTGATTATTTAGAATGCCATCTCCCCCCTTAAATCTTAATAAAAATATATTCATTCAATGCGTTTTCATTCAAAACAAAAACATTTGTAAAAAAAATCTGCGGCAGTCGGTCTTGTGAACCGAGATAAATTCGAAACTTTACAGGTTAAATCAAATATCTGTCACTCGATATAAGCGCTACGTGTACGTACTTTTACTTTCGTGCTACAAAAACACAATTTAAAAACATAAAAGTACTGCTTCAGAAACACAAAATATCACTGCTTTGAAAACACTCAAGTAAGTACTATGAGGATAGTATTATAAAGCCTTTTTATTGATCTTTGAAGTACAGAAGTTTATAAAAAAAAAACATCAAATTATAATTATCGATATGTAAGGAAATTTGAATCTTACGCGGAATTAGAAGTACTAATAATTATACAGAATACAGTAACTACCTTCGATTTTGATAAAATTAGGCTTATTCGACGTGGTTTTTTTTTTGCATAAGTCCTCAACTTCAACGCTTAATAACTCAGACAAGGTCGACCGTCGCATTTTTCTTACAGATTCTTTCGTTTTGAATAAAACGAGAATATTTTTATTAAGATTTAAGGAAGGGTGTATTCTAAATAATTATCATTTTTTATAAAGAATGTATGTTGGAACTTAATATCATTGTCAACTATAATAGAATTTCAAATAGTGTAATTATACCATTTCCCGCAAACCAAAACATTTGCAAAATCTTGCAATGCATTATCAGTATTTATCCATGACATTGTTCGCCTCGATGTTTGCAAATTCTTCTTCTTTTTTTGTCTTATTTAATTTATGGCTCCACGCCTCCAGTAGGTTTGTCTTTTGTGACTGGATTACACTTTTAAAACTTCAAGTGAGAATGGTATAAGTTTAATATTTGTAGAAAGCGACAGAATTCCTAGTTCAGTCTAGAGATCCTCTAATAACAATCTGGACACAGTGAAGCCCAAAATGGAGTGCGAGTGCGCATACGCGAAATCAGTAAGTTCCCCAGTAACGCCATCTAAACTTCTATCTCATTTGTTCTTAATTTCCTCTTTCTCTCTGCTTCTTTCTAGCTGCTCTAGTTATTTGTATCAGAGAGAAACCTGAGAGCGGCCATGGAGGCCTTTTTCTTGTAATGCTTCTAACTGCCCGTACACTAGCGGCACCAACGTTTGCGGGAACTACGTACCACGTCCATTTTCGTGAACCGCCGTCTCGTCGATAAAATCGTATCTTCGAAAGTGGACGTGGTTCGGGTCCGTGTTAAATCAGGATAAAGAAGATTTGCTCAGTATGAGTGAGCGCGACAGCTCGATACGTTCGTTCTTTTCTCGTTCGGCAACCTTTGACGCATCGAGAGAGAGCGAGACAGCGAGACGCTACGTCACGAACGTCCCGTCCTTCTCGCTCGGTCGCTTGTTTCGAGCGACTAAAAATGTTTTCTCAGCGATCGCCGCATATGTATATACCGAGTGGGGCAATAACTTTGCCACCTTAAATATCTCCGCTATTTTCAGAGATATGAAAATATTGTTATTACGAAAGTTTTCTAGGTGGAGGCGCTTCGGAGATTTCGAGGTCGACCTCATTTTTTTAAATGGAATTATATGAATTTTTTCACTATATATGATTCCTCTAATTATTCTGTACATAAAAGTATCAAGGTAGAGATATAAAAAAACCAATAGTTTACGAGATATTTTACATATTCTTTTGGTACATATCGACATAAAATGTTTAATAACTCGTGAACTATTGACTTTTCGATAATCGTACCTTAATGCTTTACGGGGCTGATATTTTATCGGTCGACAATGCTTTTCAATGGCTGCAGAACAGAATGATTCTCAGATTATCTATTCTTGAAAAGAAACGTATATGTATGAGAAATCAGAGAAATACTAATACAAAGTTTATTAATGAGTTCTCAAAAATAAATTTTTGAATTTTGTATATCTTCTAATAGAGTAATCAAAATTGCTGACTTTTAAGAAACTTGAAATCAAATATTCAAACAAATTAATTTCACGAATTTTGTCTGTTAATACGTGTCTGTATAAAAATGGAAGTTGAATAATTAGGAAGTTGTTTTTTTTATGTTAACTTAGCCCGTTCTTACTAAATATATGTATAGTTATTAGTAATTAGTACATAGAGATCTTGAATACATTTAAAACTTTTCCAATCATATATTGTGTGACAGTTTAAGGTTTTATTTAGCAAAAACGAGCTAGAGAGGCCCTCCACCACCCCCGTCGATTTTATCGGCGGTCCTCTTTTCTTTATAAATTATACTTACTCGTAAAAAACGGACCATCGTAAATGTAACAACAGCCTGTTTTTACTTATAAGTATATTTGTTGTTTTATATTTTTATATATATTTTTTATTTTTTTTTATTTTTTATATACATTTTAAATATAATATTTAATGCTATTTTTGGATATAATTCTTTATTCAATTTAATAATATAATAATTATAATATGTACAATAATTATGTGTATATTACAATAACAGTGACAATATATAATAATAATAATATTTACAATCATAGATAATATATACAATATAAATGCTGTTCAAAATACATGAAAAATCATATTAAGAGAGAACATAATTAAAAAATTACATTATATAATATAATAAAGTGGGATTATACGAAAACGTCGAAAATACGTATAAGAACACATAATTTTATTAAATGTATAGTTTCTAGAAAATACTTATAAATGAAATTAATTAAACATTAGCAGTAATTGAATCGTATTTGTTTTTATAACTCTTGACTTATTATAAAATTTATTAAGTATAAAATCTAATAAAATTTAATATATTTATCTTGTGATGCGCGCTGGTTAATATCCGATACAAAAAAGAAAAATCTTCATAGTAGGGAGCGAATTTAATACATTCCGTTTCTACGTCAAATTCATAAAATCTATTCGCAAAGAAAAGTTAAGCAATCCGTCAAACAGCGACGGTCTTGTTATGAGATTTTGTTACAGGTGTGTGAATCTCGAATTTTCCTGACCGTTTATGTGATAATTTTAGCAGCGTGTCAATTACAATTACCATTTTTATCGCATCTTTAACATTATATTAAAATTTGTATGCAAGAAAATATATGTTCTGCCATTACTAAAAATTGTAATCTTTTATTGAAAATGAATGGATAGAATGATTTCCTTGTTGAATAGTAGTTACGAAGGAATATATTTAATAATAATAAAATACACGTATTACTGTAATCTCTTATATGTGTGGATACAAAGTGTCTCGGGTACCAACTGTTCGAGATGAGCCGAACCCAATAATAGTGGGATTTTAAAGAATTATTTTCTATTATTTTATATTGAAATAATTATTATATAAAATGTGACAATATTTCCTGCATATATTTCAGGCTAAACATTTTAATTATTATAATCCCGCTAATATGAGGGTACCCATTCGACTTATCTCGAATTTTCTGTATCCACACTTTTTTAATCAAATTCATGTATTCATGATACCATTGTTGAAAGAGTACAAAACATTTTGGTTTATCTAAGTTGACACAAAAATCAAAATTTGTTAAATATAATCTTATAATACGTGCATGCATTTTATTATAAATATAGATATATAAACATATTAGAGAAGCTGCAATTAATTAATTAATTAATATCCTAGAATAGCGGGATGTCCAATACCTGAAAATAATTTTTAAAACAGTTAACTGTTAGAGCATTTAATATATACATTCGTAACTACATTTTTATTAAAACATAAGTAAAAAAAATTGAAGTAAATCATTTGTATGAAATTTGAATGTATAAACAAATATATTATTATATATCTATAAGATACTAAAGTTTTATTGTCATTAAGACAGTATTGTTACTAGCATTATTACTAATAGGAGAACATTTAGTAAAATTAAGAAAGCGAAGAAAATTGTTTTCTAAATTATACCACTAAATTAATTCGTAACTTAATTTTAAAATACATATCGTAGATAATATAATTGTAATTGACTCATTGACAAAATTATTTCTGCGCGAGAACTGCTTATAGAACCTTCAGGATTAATTCCGATTTTGTAACAAGAATCTCCAACGGAACCAACTACACTTCGCAAATAGATTTTACAGAAAACAACGAAGAATAATGCTTCATTATGAAAATAATTTCGATTTTCCATCAGTATATGAACCAGGCATTTACTGACAATTATCTGACGGAGATACAATAATGAGACCCTTACATATAAAAAAATTAATCACCAATGATAATATATTTTTATAATTTTGTAATGTTAAAAATATACTTGTCGAAAATTTTACAAGTGAGAAGTTAATATTTAACCATTGTCTCAATCAAAGCTCAAACTTGTACTACATTTTATTTAATAAAAATAAATCTATATACTAAATGCAAAATATATGTCGATTATTTTTCACCAAAATTAGAAGTAACTTAAAATTGTTGACTTTTTGAAATTCAAATTAAAAAAGAGTTAAAATTACATATGTGTCAAAATCTCTTGTTGTTATACGTTTCGCCGATTTCGTATAATTTACAGTAACTCAACAAATTGGTGTACTGAGCCAAGATAAATGCTATTAAATTCAGGATATTCAAAAATCCGATATATATCACTTTAATAGTCTAATTAATGTATAATTTATTAGTATAATTGTACAAATTACAAAAATTAATTTGATGGCATTTATCTGGACATAGTTTTTACATAAATTTTACATTACACATCCAATACTATAAACATTTATTTACAATAAAATTGAATTACAATTACAACATTAATGCGTTACATAAGTAATATCTGTGTAATATTTTACATTGTTAAATTAAATCTCGATAAAGATTTGCTGAAAATACAATAAAAAATGTAAAACTATTAATTCATATTATCTTCATATTTGCCAATTGGAACAGAATGCTGATAATTGAATAAAATTTAAAGTTTTATTCAATTTTAGTTCCTTCTTTCCAATTATCAAGTATTGTACGATATCTATGGATGGTTTCGTTTCACGTATGATGCGAATGATGTACCATTTCATCTTCCTTTAGTATTCGGTAAATGACAAGAATAAAATTATACATCTTGCGCATCGTGTGTGAAACGGAATAAGGACTTATATTTCCCTATTTA